AAAAAAACGATACTTTTATAATTGAGGGATTCATGTAAATACCAAACAGCAATATAATCTATTAAAGTTAAAAAAGGGGAGCACATCAGACCATTGCATAGACGGCTGCGACAATTTTATTTATTAACAAAGTAAACTTTTTCTTGAAAATTTCTGTAATAGTAAAGGAAATCAATTCACAGTTAGCAGGTATTCCTTTTTTGCTTCAATTGTGCTTCCAACGGCGCATGTACTGCGCTAAGTTTCTTCTCAAAATTTTAATATTCAGATAACAATTATATCGATCCGACAGCTATCCGAACTAGCAAAAATTCGTACATAACGTAAATAGACGAAATTTTATTTCTTATGCAATTAGCTTTAGGATTATTTGCATACTTAAGGAACAGGGACATTTGTAAACAATGTTGGTGTATAAGGCATGGCAATTTTTAAAATTTATTGACGACTTTCATCAGTTCGACGAAAGTTTATCGCTCTCTATTTCTTTGTCATGTTTTTGTATTTATCGAGTAAATATTATTATTATTATTATTATTATTACTTTAATTTTAGACTAATGAATTGAATTCTTAGACTAAAAAAAAGACATTGAGCACTAGCAACACAGCGAGTAAATATTATAATTAATAGTTACCCACAATATGAAGCAGAAAATTTATATTTACGAGCAATTTGAAATTCTACTCAATTTTCTTGCCCGTTTACGAAAAAAACTCGTGCTCCTTCTAAACATTTCCTATTTTTAAAAAACAATTTTTAAGGTCAAAAATTCGAAATTTTTTTTTTGCAAAAAGAGCCTTAAGAAAACCAAATTTTTTCCATGAACAATGCTCCTGGCAAAAACTAGACGTGCTAGTCTTTACTTGCTATTTATGTCAAATTTATTTCTACAAATCGCGATAAGATGGTGTATAAAAAAAGATTACTACTTAAATGACGAAGAACCCAAATGCGATACACATGCCCAAAAAAACGTACGAAGAAAATCTTAGGGAAAGAATCGTTCATCCGCCTCAAAATAATATAATTGTGTGAAAGTGGCCTGACTGCTAAGATAACATCTGCCCAAGCGCTCAAAGAATTTACTCATCGCATTTTTCACATCAAGGAAGAATGGCGACATACTATCACTCAGCGATTTCTGTCGAAAAATGTTGAAATGTCGTTCTATGGAGAAAAGTAGTTATATAAGACAGAGTGACGTCATCAATATAGAAGCCCAGCCATATGTAAAAAAGAACCAAATCCATATCTAAGTTATTCAGAGTGTGTTTTGAGCGAAGTCCACCTAAAAAGATCAAATGCAAATGTTTAGATAAAAGAGCATTGTGTGAAATGTGGGAAAAGTTCCGTCACCGCCTTACTTTTGTTACACGTATTTGCGAGGAGACCTGTGATCTGCTGGAGAAGCAAAAAACTGCAGAATGTGTCAGAGAGGAATCGAATAGCAAAATATATAAATGAGGCAAACCCACCGAAATCGATGGAATGCAAAAGTTTGGATGAAAGCTCTTCTGTGCAGTGTGCAAAGTGTTTCAGAAACTTTTTTTTATCTATTTTCAAAAGCTGTAGACATATGTGGCATGAGATATATGGGAATAGAAGGAAATTAATTTCCAAAAGTTCTTTACCCGCTACAGGCAATTGTCGATGTCAAATATGGCACAATCTTTTCGGGAGTCGAATGTTGCACATTTCAACCGGTATTGAAGCGCATCACATTACCTGGCCGTACTTGCAACGTCTCTTTTAGGATTGCCGTAGCAAATTAGCTTCTAATAATAATAGAGAGACGCTGTAAAAACTGTTGCTTTGATGTCCTTGCGGCATTTCTTACTTCGACAAACGCTCCCAACCCATTAGTTTGACAAGTATTTTAACATAATTTACAAATAACATTAAATGAATATGATTTTTTCTCACTTTTGCATCAGCTCTCAAAAACTTGCTCCTTCTCGCTATTCACGTATACGGCCATTTTGTTTGTTTTATGTTGTTGTACGTTGCTTCCTCGGCTTAAGTCCGCTTAATTTTCCTCCAGTGCATTTCAAAAAGTAGTCATAAGTTGCATAAACAGTACAAATGGTGCTCTACTATCTGCTTTGCTTTATAATAATGTACCAATCCAATCCAATGTACCCACAATACCGATGCTTTTGCGGATACTTTTCTTGACTATGTCCTAGAAGTGCAAAGTATTAGCTTGATAATCAGCAACTACTTTGCTAACAAACAATAAAAAAAAACTTTAATTACTGATGCCTTGAAATTGTAGACATTTCACTTCGCATTTTCCATGAAAAGTATTATCTAAACTTTTTCAATTTCTTTACTTCAAATATTCGGAAAAAATGTTCGAAATCTTCTTTATAAAAAATTCAAAATCACAAATTTATTCTTTAAAAATGCTTGCGAAAAATACTAGCCTTGCTTCTCTTCGCTCCGCAAGCCATTTTTATAAACAAGTTCCCACAAATCCGCGTAAGTTTTGCCCGAAAGTTATTGAGCCCAGGTGCGATCCAAAAAACAAAGATATGTGTAAGGGTAAAGAATTGAAGCTTACAGATAAGATTTTTACTACCAAGACGAAAAATTCCATGTGGGAGTTTCCTGAATGCTGCGGTAATATTTGCAGACAAATGCCAATACGTTTTGATGAACTATATTACAAGATGAGCAACAAGAGGACGCGCAAGTATCCGCAAACTTGGGTAACTCCTCCTAAGCTTCGAATAAAACTTGCCGAAATATATCCTCCGCTCTGTCGAGCAAGCCCAGTACCAAAAAGGATTCGGCGGCCGAGAAAGAAAATAACGCCATGCCGTGCAGCGGACTACAGCGGTGGGGACTTAATGCCTTGTCTTTTGATGCCAAAACCCCTTTGCAAATTAATGGTGTGTGAAGTAAACAAGAAACCAAAAAAATGTGGACGCAATGCATTCCTCATAAAACCCCCGAAAGGCAAAAAGCAACCAACCCCCTACCCATGCTTTTCAGAGTGCAAACGCGTCAAACCGCGTCCACTTAGACCAATTGAATGCAAATGTTTAGATAAACCGTCAATGTGTGAAGCTTGGGAAAGGTTTCGAGCACAACTTACTTTCGTTAAAGGTATACCTGAGGATACCTGTGAAGAACCAAAAAGAATAGGTTGCCTGATACTAGATCCACTTCCTGCAGAACCGTGCTAGATGTCGAACTGCAAGAGGTATAACCTAGTTTTACGCAAAAAAGAGAATTCCTTATCCTTAACGATCAAACGTTTTAAAAGGATGTTAAAGGTATATAGAAAGCAGAAGGAAAGTGGTTTTCAGAAGCTTTCTACACACTTCACTCAACTGCTGGTGCTGATTTGCATCTTAACAAATTGACGACCTTAAACTAGGTCTCTTAGGATCCGGAACCAGCTGACTACCACTACCTACAACAGCGCAATAGGAAAGGTCTTGTTTTGAATTTGATTTCCTACATCACTCAGCCCCGCTTGAAATGTCTGCATTTTCTCTCGATTGCAGGAAGAGTTTGCTCTAAAATATTGTTATCATAGTTATTAAAATTTGACAATTTTTGAAAACTTTGTACGCGATAGTTCGTGATTGCCTGAATTTCGTAAAATATAAATTCTCGTAACATTCTTTAAGAAACTAATATATATTCTTAGCATCGTTGGCTGATTTTGGTTTACTTTAGTTTTATTAAGCATTTTGTTTTTGGCTCCAAAGTTCGGGAAGAATATTTTTCTTATTTATATTTTTTTAATCAATCTTCAGACTACGTTACTTTACCTTTATCGGGGTAACAAGCGAAAATTCCCTGCTAGGAGCGGCAAATACTGATCTCTCTAATCTGTTTATCCAAACTAGCTGAGGCTGTTATATCTTCCATTTAACCAGCGACAACGATCCTATGGGGCATATTTCCATTCCTTGTCGTTTTTCTTTGGGCTATATTTCCCGGTAATAATAAATTTTCCTGCCTACAAAAGACTTTAGTTGACTGTCATTTACCTGACAACCATCACTCTCTTCTGTTGCTTAGTATTTTTCCCTCGCTCTTTTTTACACGCGTTTACTACTCTCCTGATTATAAATAATGGATGCGTTTTAGTAATGATGCTACACTGGAAGTGGGTATTCGTGCATTTGAATAATGATTATAATGTTTTATAAATAAACACTATTAATTAAAAAATTATCTGTAATAAAAATTATTAGTTACAATTAAAATTCTTAGTCACAGAATCAGTTCATAGTGTAAATAAGGATAAACTAAAAATTACAAAGTTTTATTTACAAACGAAGAAATTATACCTGAAAATCAGAAAATAAAGAAGGTTTATATCGTATATTAAAAGCGTTTTCGCGGTTGAATGACGTTCATATTCAATTTTTATACTTGGTCATAGACTGTTCAACCGTATGAGCGATGAATGCTTCCAACTAAAACTTCAGATAATGACAATTAGCTGGTTGTCCGCTGTATTTGAAGATATAAAAATATTTTGCCTTTTCTTAGATGTCAAAAGAAAGGAATCAGTCGTTTCTGTCTCATTCACATAATTTATTAGATGCTTACGTGCTCTTTATAAACATCTATCAATTTTTGTACCCGTCACTGAACAACGAGGGATATACTCACAGACCCCACAAACTATGTGTTTTCATTTTCATCATCAAATTGTGAACCGATATAAGCATGTTCGTCGGTTGATCGTATGTTCGTCTATGCAATGCCTGTTGTAAACGTTCTCGTAGCCGAAAAAATGACGCTATCGACTTTAAAGTTAAAAAACCCATTGCGAAAGTTCTTGCCTCCAATAGTACCTAAACTAAGAATTTCCCTGTTTTTTGGAAAGAAATAAAAATCATTATTCATTATCATTATCATTGCTCAAAAATCATTCGATCATTACTCATAAATTACTCATCTACAAAAATTTTAACGTATATTAAATGGCTGATGCTGCAGTATCTCTAGAAAAATGGAAAACATTGACCATGCCTACTGCATATTATCGTGTATCGAAATTTTTTTTCACTACCTTTATAAAAAGCAGAATCGGGCTTCAAAAACCCCATAAAGTATGTAAGATCTTAGCCGATTTCCAATGTCGCAATGCACTTAAACACGTCCGTCTGTCCATCTGTCTACCTGTTTATCTGCACAGCTATGTGCTCTCTATGGTAAATGTTCTCCCGTTCGCCAAAATGAAAATATCGCCAGCAAATTCGCAAAAGAATTTGGAAGTGACCTAAGCTTTTCAAAGGACACGCCTACAACGCCCAAGCAATGTATGCTACAAAAACTTTAATTTGAAAATAAAAGAAATCCGCCTCGCCGAATATGTTAAATAAACTCCAAATTTTTGATATTCCCTGCATATTTCGATTTTGAAAAGATCGTAAAAATAAAGAATAAGATTTCTTTGCATATTTTGATGCGGTGGTTTTAAAAATTTCAGTCAAAGGCGGTTACTGTTTTGTAATATCCAAAGTCCATTTTCCAAAGTCTATCTTTTGGATCAAATGTTTACAGCCTTGTTACTTTAATAGCCATAATAGCCTTATGTTCAGGATCCATCATCGCCAAAACCTCGTACCTAACACTGTATGCGTAAGACACTAAATCAGTAAAAAAATAGTGTTAGACAATGAACATGGCAATGAAATTACTCTTAGTGTTTTTTAAGCTTCCTTCTGGGCGTTGTAAACTTTTTGACAAAATGAATGTACTCCGAATACTTCGGTAATAGGTATAAAAATGTCAACAGGCAAAACGTTAAAACTTCGCTCAAAATGACCAAAAAAGCCTACAACTATTTCTGTTTCCATCGAGGATTACTAATGATTTTTTATTGGAATACACGACAATAGTAATAAATAATTAATTAAAAATAATAATTATTTAAATTTAATATAATTAAGTAATAATTAAAACTGTTTTACTCTGCTGAAAAATAAACGAAACGTTTCATCCTTAGGCAAGCTTCGAAACCCAGTTGTATATGTACAATTTGAAGGGGAAGACACCTGGTCTAGACCGCATCTCATACCAAATGATCAGTGCTATGTCTAAGTCTAGTAAAAAGAAATTACTGGACCTATATAATACGGTATTTATGACTGGCCATATACCCTACATGTGGAAACTGGCAACAGTTGTTCCAATTCCAAAGTCAAAAAATGTATTCGTCGCATCGGATTATCGACCAATTTCTCTTTTAACTTGCCTCTCTAAGGTATTAGAGAAGATTATGGCATCTAGATTATCTTGGTTTCTTGAGTCCAAGAACCTGATAACAAAGCAACAAGTTAGTTTCAAGCGGGGTAGAGGGTGCATCGACGCTCTGTTACATATTGATTATTTCACAAGCAAAGCAATTTCCGAACGAAATCACGTAACAATTCTCTCAATTGATTTCGAAAAAGCATTTGACAGAGTTGGTCTTCATGTTATCTTAAGACTCTTGAAATCATGGAATGTTGGACCCAAATTCTTCAACTACATCAAATCATTCATGTCGCATCGGCGGTTCAAAGTTACAATCAACAATCATCTTTCTGATTCCTTTCCACTAATGAATGACATTCCGCAAGGATCTCCTCTCTCTGTCACGCTTTTCCAGATCGCTTTCAACGAAATTAGCAAAATTCTTTGCCGTGTACCAAGAGTGGAACATTGTCTCTACGCGGACGATGTATACATTTTTACAAAAGAAAAAGACAACACGAAAGCAATCAACATCCTCGAATCTATTGCATGTGAGATCTCCACGTGGGCAAACTCGTCAGGAGCTAAAATTTCTATACAAAAATCAAAAAAAATGCACATATGTCGAAAACAAATGTGCGATGCAGGAAACCTACTGATGCATATTAACGACCTACCAGTACTAAATGTGCAGACGCTCCATGTTCTCGGGCTCACGTTTTCAAACAATTATCGTTGGAAAGCACACTGCCTTCGGTTAAAAAACTCCCTTTTAACAAGGGTAAATTTCATACAGTACGTTGCTTGGAGAAGCCATGCGCATATTAACACTATCGCTTATCTTACCAAAATGCTTGTGTTAAGCAAGATTGACTATGCTTTGATAATTTATGGCAATAGCTGCAAATATAATATCAACATCCTTAAACCGGTCTATCACCAAGCCGTCAGAGACAGTTGTTATGCTTTTCGGACGACGCCCATAAATAATATTATAATTGAAACTGGCCTCCCAACTTTAGAAAATAGACTGTATGAGTTAAAAGCTAAAATAGTCCCTAAGCTTCTTAATTCAAACAAATCCATTCGGTGATGACGTAAGAAAGATTATTATTGCGAAGAAAATTCCAAAGTCACCATCTGCAATTGACCATTGTTTGTGCATCGCAAAGGAATTGAACATTCCCTTAAAAAATTTCCCGCTCTTTTGGTGTTAAACCTCCCTGGATTTTGAAAGACTGCTCTTTTGACATCTCACTGTCTATGCACAAGAAAGAAGATACTCCAAATTACGTCTTCAGGAATCTAATAGCTGAGAAAACCCAAGTATTGGACAATACTGGTTGGAATGTTTTATACACAGACGGCTCAAAATCTTTCGGCCTGCCTCCTGCTTGTGCCGTTGTAGATGCTACAGGACAGGTTCTTTTCAATCACATATTTCACGAAAGTACTTCAACGTTCACAACCGAAGCCACTGCTATCCTTCACGCTGCCAACCTTGCCCATAAAACAACTGACAATTTTTCTTTGTATTAAAAGCTATACAGATTCCTTTGACTTCGAGAGGGAGCACCATCAACAAATTAAGGAATATAATTACTACACCCGACGAAAAAATTAAAATTTTATGGGTACCAAGTCACATCGGTTTACTGGGAAATGAGCAGGCTGATCGAGCGGCAAAGTATGCTACTTCTGCTCCTCTAATTATGGATGATGTCATGGAAAAGTTGGATCTTCAAAGATACATTGGAAGAAAAGTTAAAGAGAAAATTTGCAGAGGGAAATTTACAATACCACCATCAACACTACTCTTGCATTAACCCTCAATTAACTTCACCTTTATATCCAACAAATGTTGAGAAAACCAAGATCTAACCATTTTCGAGAATTCGCCTTGGTCATACAATTGCAACTCACCAATGGATCCTGAAGAAGTCTTCTTCCCCAATCTGCTGTTGTGGGAAAACTCTCACTA